CAACGACAAGAACAAGAAAAGAACAACAACAACAACAACAAAAAGAAAAAACAACAACAACAACAACAACAACAAAAAGAAAAGAAGGAAAAGAAAAACAACGACAAGAACAAGAAAAGAACAAGAAAAGAACAACAACAACAACAACAAAAAGAAAAAACAACAACAACAACAACAACAACAAAAAGAAAAGAAGGAAAAGAAAAACAACGACAAGAACAAGAAAAGAACAAGAAAAGAACAACAACAACAACAACGAAAAGAAAAGAAGGAAAAGAAGAACAAGAAAAGAACAAGAAAAGAACAACAACAAAAAGAAAAAAGAACAACAACACCACCAACAACAACAACAAGAAAAGAAGTCGGAAACAAAAAAAAGAACAACAAGAAGAAGAAGAAGAAGAAGAAGAAGAAGAAGAAGAAGAAGAAGAAGGAGAAGAAAAGAAGTCGAAAACAACTTGATTCTACAAGAACAAGAAGAGGAATAGTAATCGTAATATAAAAATAAGTTAAATAATAAGTTCAGTCAAGAAGAAATCTTTGGTCCATTGAGAATTAATGGATTATGACGAAAAAGCGAAACAAATGTGTAAAAAAATTGGCGAAAAACACGCCAATCTTGCTGACAAATGGAAGTTTTCCTTAGGTGTTCTTTTCTCTATTTATTCTGACAGTTTGATACGTATAATTTCAAGGCTTAATCAAATTTATAAAAAAAAAACTTTTATTATGTATGGCCCTTTGTTTAATGTTGATCATTCAAACGTTATAGTTTCAAGAGGTTTTCCTGTTATAAGCAAAWAATATAAGTATATCCTACACTCACTTTACTTGTTATATACCTGTTTACCAATACTCCATTTTTGAATCCAAAGCGAAAAACCGCTGCTTTATTTGACAACATATTCTCTTGAACAAAGAGGTTACGAAAAAATAGAAGGCAAAAGAAAATGTCGTTATTTTACCCTTGAAAATTTACCTAGGCTTTTCGCCTAGTTGAAACAAACCATGGACACGCATAAGGGCCGGTTCGYACTCTGAGCAGCGGCACAAGAAGTGCATTTTGTATGTTTAATATGTATGAAAACGTTTTTATTTTCTTCTGCTTTTGTTTCTGCTTATGCTGAAAGACTCTGAGTGTGAACCAGGGACATCATAAGCAGAAGAACATGCTTCTGTCAAGTGTGAACAAGCTTCTGCTTCGGTTTTTGCTTATGCCAYAGTGTAAACCGGCCCTAAGACCTGAAATTTAAGCCTTTTGGGAGTACAGTTTAAGCCTCAACTCGGGGAATTTTTAGAACTATTGTACGTACAACATTTTCTCGTGTTTTATTTTTTGTTAGGAAGGTCTTTGCGTAAGAGAATTTGCTGTCAAATAAAACAGCGGTTATTCGATTTGACTTCAAAAATGGAGTATACAGAACGATCATATACATAATTAAACAAAACATATTTGATACTTGTTATATACYTGTTTATAATACTGAAATGTAATGTCAACATAACTTCCATATCACGTTAGCGTGTTATTATTACTGTTTTCTTTACAGAAAGAAGCGCTCATACGCTCTCGAAACAGTCTGCCGAAAACTCTTATTAAGAACGCTTTATTAACACAAGATTAGCGTGACGGCGTTTTTCTTTCGAGTGCTTGTGTAAGAGCGTCGACTCGAATATTCGTCTAAACACTTGACAAATTTTATATCCAAAGAAAAACATGGACAGATTTCTCAGTCAAGCGTGGGTGAATTAATCTCAAAGACTAAAYAGTACATATTTTTTTATGTTGAATGAATTTATGTGGGAGGAGAAAGAAGGCGTTCTATTGGGTATTTAGTCGATAAGTATTGGAGACTTAATAAAGGGAAACGTAGAGCGAAATGAAAAAAAAATAAAGGTCTTAATAAATAACACTGCAGCTGGCTCTCGTGTATATATAATTTTCCCTTTTTTTAACGACGCTTTTTTTCTGAAGGAAACTTAAAAAGAAAAAGAAAAATTTTGATTTCCCATGTTTTTTAAATGCAAATTTGCTCTAGAATTGCTCTCTTGARGTCCACGATGCCGGAAGCAAGACAAAAGATTAGATTTATCAACAATTTGGGTAGTTTTGAATTAAATCTTAACATAAAGTTCTTTACAACAACAACATTTGTTTTATCTTGTATCTAACAGATATCAGATATTTCTAGCGAATATTCCGATGAAATCTTCACCAAAAAAAAAAAAAAAAAGAAGAAGAAAACGAACACTGTGTCTGGGTGTCCATTTTTGTGAGTTTACTTTGAATCGCCGTCACCTTACTTTAATATATCAAAAGTAAATTTAAGATTTCAATTATGTCATTTTTGATACTTCAWTCGTCCTCTATAGAATGCACAGTAAATAACAATTTTATGATCTTATAATTTTAACTCAGCGAAAATAACAATATTAAAGTTAAACCAATGAAATTCATAGTCACAACTGAACGAATTATTCGCAAAGTCCATTTCCGATCTACAACCCACGAACTAATTCAAAAAGAAATGATTGCTTAACAATATATAAGATCTTGTTTAACAAATTGACTCATTAGAAAGGAAGAAGTCGTATGGATTAGAAAGYGTATGGATACAAGAACTGGAAGAAACGGATCTTACATAGAACAAAATTCATAAAAATTAACTTATTACCAAATTGGCCGCCATCTTGAATTTCACTGGCGTTGAATATGRCACAATAAATGGATAATTTTAAACTAAAAACTGTTTTCAATTACACACAACCAGGAAAATTTCTTTTATTTCTTTAATGTTTTTTTCTTACTTTCTAAAGAAGTTTAGTAAAAAACATTTTTTTTATTTATTTATTATATATTTTTTTCATAATGTTATCGCAAACTTTGACGCTTAAATTACTCAAAATGTTTTGTAGTACTAACCCCTTAAATAMTGCCAAACACATGAGGATATCCTTAAAAACATCACAAGTGTGCATCCGTTATTCACGTGTAAGGAAAACAAGTATTTCTCACGACTTTTGCACGATTATGTTTTGTACTTCACTCGAATAGGCCCTTAGCTTAATGAGACCTTCAAAACTAGCAAGAAATCCGGCCACGTTTTTATATTTGTCTGAGAAACACATGCAGAAATATGTTTTGTTTGACTTTGTTGTTGTTTTTAATATGTTTTCTTTTGTTTCAATCTTTTCTTTTCTTCTTATTTTTTTTTGTATATAAAAGCTGATTTTTGTCTAATGCTGTTGTTGTCGCTGCTGCTGTTAGCGTTGTTTTGACTTCGCTTACCTCTTTCTGTCTGTCTGTCGTCTTCTTTTCTCCTTTAATGTTAAGCAAAACCTAACAGTTCGTATATATAAGAAATTCAAAAGGGAAGTCGAACCCAAAAAAAAAAACCTAAAACTCACACACACAAATAGAAAATGAAAGTAAAACATCATACTACAGGAAACCAAGGAAAAAATAGATAAAAATAAAATTGTTGCAATTGAATATATAATATGAAAAATACATTAAATTACAGTATATGCACTTAGGTATACGATTGAATATATAATATGAAACTACGTACACGTATGCTGACATTTAAAAAATAGCTGCTAAGATTTAAAAATGCCAGTGACAATTCTAAATAAACATGAAACTTTAAGTGGCAATCCAGGGTGTTTGTTATGTTTATTTGTACCAAAATACATGTTATCAGATGAAAAAAATAACCTTGATTAATCCTTTAACTACAAGTATTTTTAATAAATTAAAACTAGCATAAATCGGAGTTTGATTTATTTTGAATAGCACTCAGAWTACAAAAAAGGCGAAAATTGCATTGAATTGCCTATGACGCATTCGGTATGATGATATATTCATATATAAACTTCTGCGGTCAGAATCATTTTTTGTTTATTTTGTTCATAATTATATATCGGCGATACATTATTAGTCCTTGAATGATTCATGTAATTTTTTTTAAAGTTTAATCCATGTTATATTGAATTAAAATTATAAAGGTTTGTACATAGCTATGCTATAGTTATGCACCAAGGCTGTTATATGTCAAAAAYGTCGTTACTTCATCGTCAAATGCGGTCATTTGATCTTTGTATCTCAGCAAGAAAGAGATGACTGCTTTTGTATATCGGTTGAATAAAGAGTACAAGATGTTTGAGTGACGCAAAATGCCTAAAAATAGAGTCACTTGGTAAGCTTGTCATTTTTCCTCGTAAAACTGAAAACCCAGACTGAAACGCGTCAAAATGATCGCTCGAATAGATTTTCCATATAAGGGAGAAACGGAAGTTGGAATGCCTTGTTAAATAAAGAGCAGGGTATCAGAGAACAAAAAAAAAATGCTAAAAATCATTTGCCAGGCTTGTCATTTTAAATGCCCTTTTTTGTGGTCACCAAAATTTGCATGTACTTTATTCCACAGATAAAGAGGGTAATCATCTTTCATAGACCGACAGGCTGGACCCAAACATAGATAGATCATTTGAACATAGATTGATAACTGATAYCATCAGTGAATATATCCTTATTAGCGAATCTCTATGGATTCCACTTGTCTTATGATGTACGGATCTGAAAAATGATTTTTTTTCCCCAATATTGGTTCTTCTGACCAACGCGTGGCATTTAGCCCTCAGTTGCAATCAGAAAAGTGTGAAATAAAAGTGAATCGTCTATCTCTCTTAAACTCGACTGATGAATTTTGCGTGGGTTCAGGATCCGCGTTCGTTGTTTTATGCTTAAAGGTATTAATTAACAAAATTAACAAAATCGCATTACAAGATAAAAGTACAATTAATTTTTTAACATATTTAAAATCATATATATCATAATTAACTGAWTTTTTTTTTGAATAAATTTAATTAATCTAAACAATCCGTTCAAACAAATTATTTTTATATCAATAATTTGAATTTATATTCGTTTTATGTTCTGTTCATTGATAGGTAAGGTCAATTTAATTCATTGAAAAAGGCGTCCATTGACTGTTATTTGCTCTTGATGTTAAGGAGTTAGTCATAATAGTGACATAGTCAAAATTATACATAGAAAGCCGAAGAAAGATATAATTTTCTAGTTATACAAAAGAATAGAGCTATTTTTTAATGTTATCAGGAAGAGCTGGAAATTTATCTTTACCTATTGTCGCTCGATGACAGTATTCACTCTCAATAATGTTGGTCATTTAAACAAAGATTGATGTTAGCTTGTATTATTTCACCGTGTTATGTGCTRATGCGTGAGATATTTGTTATTATCCTATAATTATCTATAAAATACCTATATTTCTCCATTTGATAAAGTAGATATTTTCACTAGTGAAAATAACACATTCGAGGTTWGTCTATATATTGGAAGTAAGAAAAAAGGTCTTTTACGACATAATTTGCTTTCATATTTAATTATGTGATAAACAGAATATTACATGGTCGCTTGGAGATGCGATTTTTATTTCTCGTGTTGAAAATCTCTCACTCGTTTGCTACGCTCACTGGTGATAGATGTTTTCAACGCTCGAAGATAAAACACTTATCTCTGCGCGCCCGTGTAATATCCTCTCTCTATATCAAAAATACACTGTAATTTACAGTCGTTTTTTTTTCAAATTTTCTGTCTCACAGAATTTAATAGAGTCTGTGTACACTTTGAAATATTTAGAACACAGTCTCTTATAAAACGATAATTCTTATGATTTTCTTTTTTTTTTAATACGCGGGGATATTTTCGTTCTTTTTCGAGATATCTTGGTAACCTTATGAATTCAGCTGGTCAAATATTTTATAGCTATGATAACAGAACGGCGGCTCGTTCATATAGCAAAAGCCTTGTAAAGGAACGTAGCTATCGATACWCTGATCGCTAAAACATTGATCCATATCACTGATTGTAAATCGGGGTATAAATATCGGTTAAACGAAGCCGTCCGTTTTATTCAATTAATTTTGAATTGCCTCTTATAAGAAGAGAAAGATTCTGCTAAGCCTTAGAAATCCCCTTCTATTTTGATGTTTTGGCTGAATTTAATCGACTTTAGCTTATAAACACGACTCTACAGCTGGAACTTATTATTTATCAGGGATTTCAAACATTAAAAGAAAAAGATTCATTTTGAAAGGTTTGAACTTTTAAAACGAAACCTACCAGGGCGTTTTCCGGCGAAAATATATATCCAACCGAATCTAAAGCTATATATGGTACACATATATGTATATTCAGAACTCCAGTATTAGCCTCTTACCTTTTCAACGTTTTCTGTGCTCTAAAGTGGCCTTCGTTTTTCTAAATGAAAATATTAACATGRAACAATGGAACTTAATATCAACCAATCAGCKTTGACGCGGGAACAATTGTCAAAATGAGCGCGTATGGATTGCCTTTAATCTTATCTTTCCGGATSAAGCATTAGAGATTGCTGCTTACTCGCTACCAATCATCGGCTTATTTTCAGATTGTTTTGGCGCAATAGGGTAAATAAAAGGARTAAAACGAATTTAATGAGTAAGTGCTAACAGAGGAAGTTTATGTTTTTGGGTTTATTTTTGTGTATATATACAGAAATAATGCTTTAACGACTTCATTTTATTTTGATTTATGCTTTTATTTATAAAGTGTTCTTTTAACTTGTGCAATTTCGTGCAATTTAAAGCTATTTACAAAATAATTTATCATAGAAATTAATACAATATAATAGCATGAAATACTAAAAGGACTTAAAGAATCAATTCCATTTTTATAGTGAAATACTTATTTTATTCGTTTCAATTCGTGTCGCAGTAAGCTAGAGCAAATTCTTATTCAAATTGCTGAAGTTAATCTCTGAATCTTGTCAACCCTAATGATATCTTAATTACTCCATGTTAAACTTTAAAAAAAGACAAAAACCCAAACTTATCGTACGAATTTCTTACATTTTATCCCAAAAGTCYAACTATTACAAGTTTTCCTCATTTTCTTTGRACCGTAGAGTGTTCCCATGCAACGTTTAAGAGATAGAAATCTGAATTTACATAACATTTAATACAACAAAAACAAAACAATATAAAAACACAAAAAAAAACAGGATCTTTGAGGGAGGAGAATTTACAAAAACTTGACGATCTATAAAAGCGAAACATAAAAATTTAATGATGATACTGTGGAATATGGTTACGGATAATAGCAATCTATTATTATTTCTGAAACATTCTGCCCATAGGTTTTCATAATATGAAATCCGTTTCATTTTTCCAGTTTTTCTTCTTTTTTTTATTTGCATTATAATCACCAAACAGATCTTTTTTTATGTCTTTTCAACTTTATAACGCGATTATATACTTTTGAAATAGCACCAAGYAAKATTGTATGCAATGCAAATATTCAAYATCCGTAATTCTAATCAAAAGAAAAAAGAAAAAAAGAAAAAAAAGAAAAAATTATATTTTGAATATGATCAGTATCATTTTGATCATTTTCTGTTTTTGTTTTTTATTTTGTTGTTGTTTTTGGATTTCGTTGGATTATACAATCTACCCGAATCTCAATTTAATCTGCCTCACATCTCGGCAGTTTATGTTTAACTTGTTATGTGTAACTCAGCGATCATTTCACTTCTTCATTCTAAATCCAATATACCTCCATTTCCTTTGACAAAAACAAATACAATAGACTCATTTTTTTATGACTTTGGAAGTGCAGCTTCTGTCGTATACCGCTTTTCAAACAACGCACAATATCTCAAATTGATCCCAACTCTCCGCTCCTATCACTACTTCGCTCTTAAAGAGCTAAAACAAACACTTCGCTTGACTTCTATTGTTTCCATATGTCATGAATTAAATGAAACTTTATAACTCAATGTCGTTTAATATTCAAGGCTAGCTACGTGCTCGTATATTTTTAGATAGTTGAAAAGTAGGGCGGATTTAGTTGAGACAAACAGTTGGGGGGCCTTGTAGTATTTCTATTTGGGCAGCCCAACGAGGAAGCACCTGCAGACTTAGAAAATTAAGCCATTTTTTAACTTAGTGATTTTTTTACTTCCAACAGATATAACTAAGCTTTTCTTTCATAATGTTGTACTTGATATCCTAAGATTTAAACAGCTGGACTTTCTTTGAGTAATGGATTTTTGAGAGATCTGCAGTGTATTGAAAGGGAGAACAATTAGACCTTTGATATGTTTTTGTGAGGTTCTATTAACTTAAGAACGAATACTCATTACGTCATGCCAAGAAAGAAAAGCAAAAAAAAAAACAAGGATTTTCGAAAACCATGGAAGCTCAACGYTAAAATGGCAGGCCATTTACAGTCACAAAGTATACTCTGACTATATTCTCTTTCTCATAAAGAAAAATAAACGAAAATACTCGTCCTTCGATGAAATGATATTCAGTCTTAAGTAACAATAAGCGTAAGAACTACGCAACTCTATTGTTCTGCGGTAATTGCAASTTCCCCACATACGAATGTCTTGGTTTTCACAATGATTATATATCAACCTGGTTAAAATGAAATGTGGATAAAGTCTGTTTTGAAACAAAGTTCCTCTTTTTATTAAAACATCTTGTCCAATCATAAGCACTCAAAACAATAACAAAAAGATGCTCTAATTTGCCTGATTCCCAACATGGAATTGCTATTAATATTCATTGCGTTTTTAACAATCAAGGGAATTTTCTCAATTTGCCTTTATTATATTATATTAGTATATTATTTCTTATTATCATACAACGCGCGCATGATTCGTTGAAATGAGCAGATAACGGATTTATCTAGTTTCTATGATAGCAAAGAAAGCGAAGAGTTTCAAAACATTTCTCGCAATCTCAAACCATTTCCACGTGTTTCTAACAGAAAAT